CGGATGTGGGAGTTACACCTAAATATTTAAATTATGCAGTATTATAGAGTAAAAAACTTGTAATAAACTCAAATTAGACAAAAATTATTTTATTTCAGCCTCGATGTCCACAAAATGATCAAGCATTTCATATATGAATTGGAGAGTTCAATTGTTGAATGCCAAATTTTAAAATATGTTGGCATACACATGCAGCAGAATTTAGCATCAATCTCGTTTCCTTTTGCCTGTTACAAACATATGCACAAATATATAATAGCCTGTACCGCAGTGTGGGAAAGTGTATAAAAATGTAAAAAAGTCGCATGTAATGTCCATGCGACTCTGATTGAGAAGTTGTAGAAGTTCCTCAGTTCCTTGTAAGGTGTGAGTTGATTAAAAATTTAAAAAGCCAGTCTTGTAGCAAATATTCCGTTGTCCAGCCTTTACCGATATGGACATGGTACACCTAACCATTACTACATCAAAATGGTAGTCGATATTATATTGAATTATTGGGTTTATCTATAAATCCGGTTAAAAAATTCAGGATCTGGTTCCCGCGAATAAATATCCCTAACGTGTTTGCCATTATGTGGTATATTTATGGTACATATTTCAAACGTATCCGACTGTTCTTCATAATAAAACATATGTTTCGAAATTTGTTAGTCATAGGACAATTTTATTTATTGTATTCAAATAAGGAATTTTCCACCGCACTAAATCAGGTTGCATAGTGGTATAATTCAATTTGGGACTAAAACTCGATATAGTTAAACCTCTGAAAGATTACCTTTTATATCTTCTTATATACCATGTTGACCAATGAGACATCGTAATATTAGCCGCCAAGTTTATTTGGACCAAATAGTGTTCAGACAATTCGGAGTCGATTTCTAAATGTCCGTCCTTCCACCTATTCGCCTGGTCAGCTGGTATGTACGATAATTTTCGAAGATAATAGACGTTTTCAATCAAACTTTCTCCCAAACATGGTCGACATCTAGCTGAAAATTAATTTTATAATATCATTTGAATGGAGTTTCCGATTTGAATAATTTATTATTTTAAGCATGCCTCTATTATGTTCGAAGATGGAGCGTCGGTACATTTAATCAGAGTCTCCCCAAAGAGTCAACTTCCCATCACAATTTTCAGGTCCCATTTTTAAGATGATCATACTATTTATCTATCTATTATTTATTGCTTATTTATCTTTTTTAAATGACTCTCATCTAAAAAATGTGTGTCCTCTATTTGTCACCTATTTCTATATGTCATCTTTAGTTTTCTATTTTTTAACCTTCACCTGGTCACCTTATATTTTGTTCAAAACTTTTCACTACGTAATATTTTTTACCAATCCTAGATCAAGAGATCCATTGAAAGCAAATCGTAGTGCTTTACTATCGGCTATATGTAGATCCATCATCTCGCCCAAAAAATTCACAAAATATGTTCGGTCGGACATTTCCGATTTATGGCATATACAATCCCAATATTCAACTACAACATTCCTAAGGTCCACTCCAATTTGCGTACAGATTTCACATATGATCAATTGTTTGTATTTATTAAATGAATTCTAACACCTACATCCAAATTTCTGTAGAGTTTCATATAGTTGGCGTCGACCGACTTTAGTCCATCTCACACTTCTTCCCTTTGGCATATTATCTAACCTGATATCGTGTTATTCTTTCATATTCTCCCCAATCAATATTGTAAGCCTCCATCTCTTTAAAAACGGAAGACTGATTTTGGCTGTCATTGCTTTATTTTGTACCCAAGGAAATATTCGTATTTTTCTGTGATGTGCGTACGTTGTAACCTTTCATTTTATTCCCAACAAAAATCTGTCTCATTGAAGGATATTATTATTATTTTTTTTTAAAGTGGAAGAGATGAGCAAAATGTGTTAAACCTCGTGACACATTGTATTATGTATTTGTGTATATGTTAGTAACATGAAAAATGAATACCTATAGACCCATAGTAACTTTGTAGAAAACACTTAGTATCACTTTCGGAATATGTCATTTTATTGGTCCAATGACGAACACAACTGAATTTGGGAATAATTAGTTCAGATTTAGAATTTGAGGTAAATGGCGAACTCAATCATCAAACGTTTGACCGATGGCATAGCCTATCAAATTAGTTCTCATATATATTTTCGTCCGATTTTATGTAAATGTTACACCAAATGCACACACTTTTTGATAGGCACGAAATTGTGCACAATGTGACGAATGACTTCTGTTAAGTTTTATTAACATCGGTTCAAATTTTGATATAGCTCCTCCTAATAGGTTTGTCAAATCGACGCGAAATTTTGAATAGGATACCAAATCGGCGCATATATGTATATATAGTAAGCTCATATGACAAAAAAATTCTTCGACTTTATGGATTCAAATGTTCCAGTAAGCGAAAAATCAAACCGTCGTAATTTAATTCCAAACAATTAAAACAGTTAAAATTTAGAATAAAATGTTTGTTGGGTTTTCTTTTGTTTTCAAAATGTAATTTGAACTTTCTGTCAAAAACACTCAATTGTAAACAGTAACAACAAAAACATTCAAAAACACTTTCATTTATGCTAAATTCAATTTAGGATATATTTTAGCCTAAGGTGTCGCCAAAAATATAAACACATACTGCTATTTTGTTTTCCACTCACAAACAATAGAATCCAGTTGATGGTATGTAACTTACTTACACCAAATACTACTGTCGTTTAAAATGTCGAGCATAGAAATATAGGCTTTAATATAACGTTCATATGTTCAATATAGATTCTTCTTTTTCTAGAAAGATTTACGTTTTTTTTCCAGAGGCCACAATAATGGCCCAAACATCGTGAAATTTTCCATGAAGAAGAGGATCAGGCCAAAGAATAAGCATGCCTGTTTACATAAAGATCGGTTAATATTTAGCGGGTCAAATGGACCCTGACTTTTGTGTGAAAAATTACATTATATAGAATTATATTGTTGTATGTGCGTAATATTCGGAAAATATGACAGTGTTAGGAAGATGTGCTGTCGGGCAAGAGGGTACAAATATCACGAAATATTGCCCAGGCTCGGAATATACATCCGCAATTAAAAAAAAACAAATTCTTCGATTTTGCTTTACCTTTTTGCGGAAGTTCCCATATAATTTCATGACATATATTTTTTATTATAAAGTTTAAACGATCTTGATATTATCTGTAAACATTACATCATTTAAATGACCTCCACGCGAATTGTTACAATCATTGAGGTAATTTTCGACCTTTTTTTGGTTAGGTTATATCTCAGCTATAACATGACGAATGTTGGGTTTTAAGTGCTCAAGAGTTGAAGGGTTACCTGCATAAATCAAACCTTTCTCGTAGCCTCATAAAAATGTCCAATGATGTCCAATCGCATGATCTTAGTGGCCAACGATAAATTTCTTAGCCAGAAAATGTATCTTGCAATAATGCCATGATCGTTCGTCTTGTGTAACAAGGGTCTCCGTCTTTTGGAAACCACGTATTCTCCATAATTCTTCGAAGATATAAGATCCAATCTCACCTTCGGACCAACACAAAACAATAACTTGTCTGCAATACCATCTCTTCTCTCAGAACCCCATATACGACAATGTAGTTTATTAACTAACTAACGAGTGAGAAATGTATTTACTGTTTGGTTGTAGCCATATATTACTTGAATATGAAGAATCCAGGAAATCTGTTATATTCTTTTAACGTGGCACCTCTGTCGAATATATTGGCCACTAAAGGATATATGATGTATAATATATACATATTTATATTATACATCATATATACAGTATATACAGTTGCGGTCAAAATAATAGCAGCGCAGCCTATAATCAATAGTTGGAAAACGAAGAAACATGCTGTGATCGGACGATTCCAACATAGTTTTTTTAAGCTTGTACTGTGGATCTGGACCAAGATCTTGGATTAAACATGCAATTGATGCCGGTCAATGTTTTAACATATTATAGTTCTATACACAGAATATGAAATACATATAAAATGGAAATTTCAACAGGCCAATTATCTAAAACAAACCAGTCAATTAGCAAAACATTTGTCCAGGACAACAATGTTGATATTATGAAAATTTGTGGTGCAATTTCGGAAAACCGAAAAGGATATATATATATATATATAAATTTCATACCTCATTTCTTTACGCTATAAATTTTATCGACTATTAGGAGTGAATATACAAATGTCCGCCGGTCTGACTGGCTGGTGCGCACGATAATTCTCGAAGGGGGTAACCAATTTCATCCCAACTTTGTAAATCGTAATATTTCATCGAAACTTAAAAGCATGTTTAAAGATGTGGAATATTAGTCCACTTCTAGTACCTCTCATACAAAATGATCATCAGTTTGCTGATCATTAATGTTATAATATCATGCGAACGGATTTTCCGATTTGAAACAAACTTTGCACAACCTAATATTTTTAAGAAGTAGTTATCGGTCCGCTCCTTCTAGTACCTCTCCACAAAGGGTCAACATTTTGAAAGCTTATAAATCTCATGTATCCAATTTCGTCGAAACTTTGTACATCGTATGTTTGTCTTACATTGATCAAGTTCAAAGGTGAGACCCGTTGGTCCTCTCCTTCTGGTACCTAACAAACATTTTACAAACTTGTAAATTTAAGCAAAGCAAATTATTATTAACCGATTTAATTCATTATTTGTACATTGTAATATTTTACCAAATCTACTTTAATTCCGATGATGGGGTCTATAAGCCAACCTCTTTTGGTACTTCTCCACAGATGTACTACTCTTTGATAAAAACGTATACCTCATACAAAGCGATATAAAACCTGTGTATAATTCCATAGACCTCCACAAACCATAGGTTGAGGGTATGTACACATGTGTCGGGAACATCGACTGACACAATTTGTTATAATGTTTTATGACATTTTTACAAGCACACATTCTTACGTTTTTATAATTTTGGAACACATTTTTTTATTATTTTAGAACAATTCCTTTTTGGTCGGAATAATAACACAAATGGCAACATTCCATATGTATACTTTTATACTGTTATATTAGCATTTAGCCAAGTCAACAATCTTCTTATTATTAGCAAAGACAACATTCAAATTATTTGTCCCAAAACACAGCTACAAACCACATTTGACAAACCTTTCGATGTAGCCTATCATAGACATCAACCTATAACATTTTGTACATTGTATACAACTTTTATATATAACACTTTATCTTGTTTATTTCTTTTAGCATATTCCACAGCCGCATTGCTAGCCATTGTCTTTGCTATTCCCTTCGGCATACGAATGCTTGTTCACAAAGATAGAGGGCAATGGGAAGAGTTTGGACCAGCATTTTATACAGCCCATTTAGAATTGTTCCTAGGCAATGGATGTTTGGGTGAGTTGTCTACAAATGGTAATTCGTATTCGAACAGTTTGTTCATTTCGTTTTCTTGCAGGCGTGGGAGTTATGATGCTCTTGGTATTGACAATAGAACGCTATGTATCGGTGTGCCATCCCAGTTTTACAAGGCCTGTTATGGGGCCACCAGGGTAAATATAACGAAGCTTCAATAAAATAAAAAAGTATTATATATATTTGTTATTTCCTTCCTTAGGTTAATAGTTTTCCTTACCACATTGATTACCTTTATCATATATCTTCCAAGTGTTTTCCGCGGGGAACTTATCAAATGTGTCCTACAAACCGATGGCAGTTATGTATATTTTCGAAGAGATAATAATGCCTTTATGACAACAATTTTTTATAATGTAAGGAAACAAAAAATGATCTTATAAACATATTTATTAACGTAATTTATTAAATATTTTTTAGGTCTACAAGGTAATGTTGGAAGTGATATTTAAGCTAATACCCACGGTCCTTATTGCGGGGTTGAATTTACGCATTATGATGGTATATCGCCAGACCTGTGAGAAACGACGTAAAATGACGTCATCGCGTGCCTCGTATATCAAAGATGCTGAAGAAAAACGTTTGTTTTTATTGTTAGGTAAGTTCATATTTTTGAAAATTCGTGGAATTTTGTTAAACATTTTGAAATTTCTTGCAAATTTTTCAGGAAGCACGTCTATTTTGTTTTTGGTTTGTGTCTCACCCATGGCCATTTTGCATATGACAATTGCCTCAGATGTCCTGCCGAGTTTTTCATTTCAGGTAAATCGAAAATCAAATTTTTTGGAACATTAAAACAAAAATAATAAATCAGTGAGCGGAGCAGTATAGTCGGACTACCATGGAGCTCTAACTTTCTGCGGATGTTTATTTCGAGCCTGGGCAATGTTTCTTAATGTTTGCAACCTCTTGACCGAGGGTCAAGAGGTTGCAAATATTCCCAAATATTCCCAATTTTCAGTACAGTCCTTCTAATTACTTGTCCATATTCCCCTCTCCGTGGGTTGGGTTGTGATGTTCGGCTTGTGGCCTATAGATCGACAAAAAAAAACACCAAAAGTTTAGTTTTCGTTCCACTTCATCCCAATTTTTTTATGTGATCATCACCCAAAATTATAGGCATTGTCCTTGATCATAACTGGAACCTCTTGGAAAATTTTAAAGCGATCAGCGCTATATTTCAGCCCTGTAATGTTTATGGATTACTAAATAAGCACCTGTAAATATTTAAGTTTAACTCAGACATCCTTTTGGATATACCTTTTGGCCAATGTCCTTCAGGATTAAATATGTACGCCCCAGAATACAAATTTTGTAATTTTTCATACAGAAGTCTAGGACCTATTGACCCGCTAAATATAGATCAATCTTAATAAAAACAGTCATGATTATTGTTTGGCCAGATTTACTTCGTGGTTTAAAATTTAGTGATGTTCGAGTCATATTTGTGGCCTCTAGGATGACCAGAAAATAGACATAAATAAACTTTTTGGTCCCTAAATATTAGCGGATCAAAAATAATAGGGGCCTTCTTTGGCCAGGACCCATTCTACGTGTCTCGTATTTAAAAATTTTAATGGACAGACAATTTTTCGGAAACATGACAATGCTGGATGGATGCGATAATTTTCAGAAGACAAACGTTCTGCGAATGGAAAACCAATTTTTCGTCCATCGTCATCATTCCATTAATAGGAAACAATTCTTATACCTGTAGGAAGTCATCCGTAAATCAATAGATAGGAAGCCTTTTTCCAGTAGAAGGCCAGCCTTTAATCTATAGGAGACCAGTTTTCAATTCAAATGAGGATAGGCTTCTATCTATATGAGACCAGCATTCGATTGAAGATTAGGTCCCTATATATTGAATATTAAACTTATATCATTAAGAACACCATCATTTTGTATGTTTACTTTTTAATAAATTTGTTTCTATAGAAGAGCGGAAACATTAACACTCCCATCCAAATATCGTTGTTCACTACATCCTTATAGATTCATATTTATTACAATGATATTGGCACACGTACACCAACATATGTGCTTCGACTGTAACACGTTTTCATTTCCGTTGTCCTAACTTGTTTTCTGTTCTTTTTTTACCGGAATAGCAGAAAATACAAAACTCAGCTATTTCTATTGGCAATCGTTTTCAATTAAAACAAAAAACATTTTTTTTTTGTGTCCGTCGAGCAATGCTCCACCTTATAGAGTTCTATTTATAAATTCATGGATTTTATTTATTTTCGTTTCGTTTTATCTTTAACAGGTGTTCAGAGCATTGGCCAATCTAATGGAGTTAACCAATTATTCGATAACCTTCTATATTTACTGTCTATTCAGTGAAGATTTTCGCAATACACTGATAAGGACCATCAAATGGCCATGGATAAGAACACAACTGTGTCATCAAGTCGATGAGGTTGGTATTTTACGTACATACATACACATAAAATAGGCACGTATTTTATAAATTTCTGTTTGTTTCTTTCTTTGGAAATTGAAAAAATAGGTATCTGCTAAGCAAACGCCTCTAACAAATTTCGATAAGCTGACTTTGCGTAATCATCATATAACCACAACATCAGGCGTGTGTACGGGAATTGGTCGTTCCAGTAGCATTTGATGCAAAGTACCCTATATACTATGATAGTTTATAAGATTCAAATACTTTTCTAAATAGTAAGTATTAGTGATGTAAAATGAAGAAAAAATGAATACTTTAATTTATTAATAAAAGTATATACACTTTGAAGAGGTCAGGAGAATTTTGTGGTGGACAAATGTAGCCAGTATTATTTAGTTTAACTTTAAAAAGTGGGGTTGTAAAAATAGGTTATTAGCCGAAAAAGCGATATTTCCAAATTGTTTTTTCATAGAAGGTAGAAAATCCACCTTCGATTAGTAGAAGACTAATCCCTCATATAAAATAAATAAGCCTCTCGTGAGCTATACATGACCTTATATAGCCTTATATTTTTGAAGGCCATTGAATGTCGTTTTACCGTCTATCTTTAAGAGTCCAGCTATCTATAAACAGGGGGCCAGCCTTCTATATGTAGGAGGCCAGCCTCATATTTATCTATTGAATACCATTTTTCTTTCCATCCATCCATTTTTGTAACTATGGGAATCCTGCCATCCATCTAAAAATGAGGAACGTGGATCGGAGGCCTCATATAGATTGGTGACAAGCCTTATCTCTATAAGACGCCAACTGTATATCAACAAGAGGTCAGGCATCCCTCTGTAAGATACAAGCCTTATATACGAAGGAGAATTATCATCTGTGGGAAGCCAGCCGGTAGGCTGCCAGCTTTCTAGCAGTAGAAGGCCAGCCTTCTATCGATAAGAGGCCATCAAGTCTTCTATCTAAAATTGTCCAACCTTCTGTGTCTATACGAGGCCATCTTTCTAGCAATAGGAGGCCAGTCTTCTATATATAGGATGTCAGCCTTCTATATATAGGAGGCCAGCCTTCTATCTATAACAGGCCAGGCTTCTAGCTATAAGATGCCAGCCTTCTATCTATAGGAGGCCAGCTGTCTAGCAATTAGAGGCCAGTCTTGTACCTATTCGAGGCTAACCTGCTATCTACAGTAGGCCAGTCTTCAATCTTCTACCCTTCTAGGAGGCCATCAAGTCTTCTTTCTAAAATTGTCCAACCTTCTGTATCTATACGAGGTCATCTTTCTAGCAATAGGAGGCCAGTCTTCTATATATAGGATGCCAGCCTTCTATATATAGAAGGCCAGCCTTCTATCTATAAGAGGACAGCCTTCTATATATAGGAGGCCAGCCTTCTATCTATAAGAGGCCAGGCTTCTAGCTATAAGATGCCAGCCTTCTATCTATAGGAGGCCAGCTTTCTAGCAATTAGAGGCCAGCCTTGTACCTATTCGTATCTATACGAGGTCATCTTTCTAGCAATAGGAGTCTTCTATATATAGGATGCCAGCGTTCTATATATAGGAGGACAACCTTCTATATATAGGAGGCCAGCCTTCTATCTATAAGAGGCCAGGCTTCTATCTATAGGAGGCCAGCTTTCTAGCAATTACAGGCCAGCCTTGTACCTATTCGAGACTAACCTGCTATCTACAGTAGGCCAGTCTTCAATCTTCTACCCTTCTAGCAATAGGAGGCCAGCCTTCTATCTATAGGATGTCGGCCTTCTATCTATAGGAGGTCGGCCTTCTATTTATAGGAGGCCAGCCTTCTATCTATAGGAGGTCAGTCTTCTATCTTTAGGATGCCAGCCTTCTATCTATAAGATGTCAGCCTTTATTTATAGGAGGCCAGCCTTTGTCTATAGGATGCCAACCTTCTATCTATACGAGGCCAGCTTTCTAGCCAGTCTTTAATCATCTAGGTTTTTAGCAATACGAGGCCAGTCATCTAGCAGTAGTAGGCCAGCCTTCTAGCAATAGGAGGCCAGCCTTTTAGCTATAGGATGCCAGTCTTCTATCTATAGGAGGCCATCCTTCTATCTATAGGATGCCGGCCTTCTATCTATGGGAGGTCAGCCTTCTATCTATAGGATGCCAGTCTTCTATCTATAGGTGGCCAACCTTCTATCTATAGAAGGCCAGCCTAATATCTATAGGAGACCAGCCCACTAGCTATAAGAGACCAGCCTACAAGTTTTAAGAGACCAGACTTCTATCTATAGAAGACCTGCCTTATATATATATATATATATTAGGCCAAAATTCTATCTATGAGTCCAGCTTTCTATCACTTTGTATATAGGCAAATGCCATCTTCTATCCATATCATACAAGACCTCCTGACCAGTCTTTTATTAAAAAGAGGACAGATTTGTTATATTTATCTTCAGCAGTCAAAGTATATCTTTCATTGAAATGAGGCAAGGTTCCCACATACAGGAGGTTATATCATTGTCTATAAAGACCAGGGCTCTATATTTTGTATGCCAGCATTATATCTTTCAGAACCTTCGAACTATATGAGTCCCGCATTCTCTCTATGGATGATAACTTTCTTCCTGTAGGATATTCAGCTTTGCTATCCGTGGAATGGCTTTTTATTGTAGACCCCCTAACTGTTTACCGAAGTGCAAAGTTTGCTCTGCAGAAGAGCAAATTTTAACTGTAGATGCCGGAGGCCGATTTTCAGTTCACTTCTGCAATTCTATCTACAACTTCTATAGAAGGCAAATTTTCGGTCTATCAAAAAACATTTTACATCTCTGGAACCGTGAAGTATTGTCATCGATTTCGGTTCTACATAATAATTTTATTAACTTCCATAACATAAGTCCCCCACAAAATAACCTCCCCCCATTATACATACACCTATGAAAAAAAAAAAACAAAAATATGTATAAAGAAAAATAGAATAAAAACTCCCGAAAAAAACTAAATTCTGTGTTCATTGTTGATATAAAATAAAAAATACAATTAATTACATATATACAAATATATATTTATTTACAATATTAAAAAAGAAAAATATATAAAACAACCACAATGGAAATATTTTTGAAAAAAACAACAACAAATATATTTTGGGAATTTACATAAAGAGAAGAAATATATACATATATTTTAATAGAAATCCCAAACAGCCAAACAAACCTACAAAACGAAATAAAAAAACAATGTACTTAAAAATAACAAAAAACAAACCGAAAAATACAATTTATAGTTTATGTATTAATTTGCTCATATAAAGGATACTTAAAACAACAACTATATATAATATTTCTTCTATATATACATTCAATATTTAATTATAAATTAATGTTTGTATGCATTATAACAACAGAAAAATTGCATATGTATGATGCAATGCAGTCAATAGATGCCTGAAAATAAAAAAATTGTTTCATATAATGGAAACAAATAATGATAATATACAAGATTGTATTAAAAATAAAATACATGATATTAAACACAAATAAAATATGTAAGTAAAATAAATGTTAAATCTTTTGGTGATATAAACAATTTGAAGAAAAATGTAAAAATGCAAAATTTATTGAATAACAAAAGTTTGATACACAACACGCAGTAAATATTAATGTATATGGAGACATTTAAACATTTATTATAAAAAAGTAAAATATTTAAATAGTAAAACTTTCAAAAAATTGAATTATTTTATAAATTATGTTCTATATCTATAGATGAGCATGATTCACACATAATTTTTGAACGGATAATCGCATTTTCACAATATTGGTGTCATATGAAAGGGTAAATAGTCTAAATTACTATGACCACATAATGTTTACAACACAAGTATTGTTGAGAGAAATTAATGGAAACTTCAATACAACATTTCATGTAAAACAATTAAAAGTATTGAAAAAAGTTGTGGGTAAGATAAATTGGGTTTACATTTAGAATAGGGTAGTGCCATATATCAACGATTTTGCATAATGTATTCATAATAATTGGCCAAATAAGGCTTTGTGTACATGTAAGAGTTTAAATAAATAAATAAATAATCGCCTTGGGATCTAAAAAGATGGCGCTGACGACAACTTTACAGAAAATCACCGAAATCATAGATTCTTCGTTGTTTTTGAATACGTAATGATAAATAAATATTTTAAAAGAATATTGATGGGCTCGATTATCCAACATCTAATAATGTTTGTCAGAGTTGCCACATTGACAGAAAATAATAGATTTCTGGTATTCTTCATAACTTTTGAATCCGTTCCGATACAAATACAATCCAGAGGTATATGCTTAGCTTTCATTGACACCAATTTTATTGAAATTTGAGCAATACAAAAAAGTTATGGCGAAAAGATTTGAGGTATGCCTCTTTTGAATTTGTTGTTACTTTACAAGAAAGTTTAAAGATGAACCTTTCATTTGACACCAATTTCCTTATAATAATTTGGGTTTAAATGTTGCGTCAATAGATAGCGCGGAAAATATTTCAATACTTTTTCATTTTCATTTTCAAGAATTAAATATATTGATATTTTTATTTCAAAAGAAAGTTCAAAGTTTTACAATTCATTTGACGCCAATTTCCTTAAACTATCTTCAATAGCAAAAAGTTATGGGAATTAATTTTTCATAATCTAATTTCAGATCTAGGTGGCGCTGACTACAAGTGTTTGCCAGTGTTGCTAAGTTTACAGAATATCATCGATATCATACATTCTTCATAACTATTAAATGCGTAATGATAAAGAAATAATTTAAATAGATATTGATGGCCTCAATTATCCGCTATCTTACAATATTCAAGAATATTTGTCAGAATTGCCATGTTTCCGGAAAATTACAATTTTCTTGGATTCTTCCTAACTCTTGAAAATTTGGACGAAAATTTCAGTCCCAATCTTTTTAAAATAATGTCCTCATAGGCCTAGCCAAATTTTTGTCAGAGTTGCCATGTCTCCGAAGACAACAGCTTTCTGGGATTCTTCATAACTCTTGAAAATTTGAGTTCTAATCGGGTTTAATTAATGATCTCATAGGCCTAGCCAAATTTATATAGTTTTTAAATTGAAATATATATTTATTCGATTTATTAAATCACCAAAAGATTATAATAATATTTAAATATTTTCAAAAATTGATTATAAATATATACCTAAATGTTTGTAATATTGTGTATAGTTTTAAGAAAAAACAAAAACAGAAATGTTCGTCAGACGAATAATTAATACAGTAAAAT